ATTAAACAAATATTCAAATTCATCTGCATCTAAACTCACACTTTCAAAAGGTACTCAGAGGCGCGAAAAAGTACGCTTTGCGGCCATGAAGAACAAACATATCGCACATTTTTGTATTTTCCCTCGTCATAAAACACAAAGAAAGGCTTTTGGAGGCTTCGACTTTATCCGATATCTGCGACGGTAGACTAGATTTTGAGCTCTTTCGAAACTCACATCACCTTAAGGAATGAGCTAACAGGCCATATTGATATTGCAGGGAGTCGCGTTGCGGAGAAGTTGGCCAGGAAAGGTTCCTTACAAGAGTGCATAATTTTTATCTTAAATATTGGCACTGTTATGAATTTATAATAACGATCAAAATATTTGATTTGTTAATTTAGTTATTTTTATTAGCCGTAACTTGAATTTTGATTTAGCCTTTTCTAGCTTTATATTTTTGCCCATTTAGCCTTTTCTCTAAAAAAGTTCTGGCAATACTGGATGTAACTATGTAATATTAATGCGCCTAAAAGATGCAGCGATTTCTATTCTCAAGTTACATACCTGAGGACAGTACGAATGGCAATTATAATAGGGAGGTTTTAGTTTTTTAAACTATAATTTTATTTGTTTTGCGCTGTGCCAGATGAGTTTTAAAAATACCACTGTGTCCTACTGTGGTAGAAATATGTCATTTTAAAACTTGAATCATAGAAATCGACCCAGTACATCGGCTGTTTTGCTCTCACATTTTTTTGGGCTTTAATTTTATATATAGTATAGATATAGATATAGATTTATTTCTACAAGGATTTTATAAAATATTTAGCCGCCAGGTGGCCGCGTCATTTTATAATAGAAGCGATCACCTGATTAGCTTGTGCTTAAAACTCGTTACCTATAGGATGGCATTGCCATACGTACATCATAATACAGTCGTCGAAAAAATATATTGAGAAGTTTTCACAATTTTTTCTTTATTTAATTTTAGTTATTTTTTTTTTATAAAAATATAGTCCATTCTTTAACAAAAACAATGTAGATCAAAGGTTCAACAATTGAGCAATATTTAAAAAAAATTAAACAAATTATCTGGCCTTCGAACAAAAATTGTTTTTAAAGGGCAGATAAATTTTTAGAACTACTTGAGAAAACGGCCCTTAGAAAGAATTTGAGTATGCAATTTTGTAAAAACTCGGATTAAAAAGTAATTAAAAAAAAAAAATTTGTCGCGTACGACTGCATAGGAACACCCATATGACACATTGTATGTTACCGAGCGCTTCGTGCTCCCTTACTGTTGTGTGTATGTACATAT